CGTGTGTGTGCGCAGCGACAGTAATTAAGAGAAGAAGTTGCAACGTACACAAGATTTCTGCCCTGGTCTGACAGTTGTATTCTGCAGGGAGGTCCAGAGGTGGCAGTGGCAGGGCGTGTGTGTGTGTGAGTCTGTGTGTGTGTGTGTGTGTGAGTCTGTGTGTGAGTGAGTCTGTGTGTGTGTGTGTGTGTGTGTGTGTGTGTGTGTGTGAGTCTGTGTGTGTGTGTGTGTGTGTGTGTGTGTGTGTGTGTTAAAAATATACACTAAACAAACAATTAGAGGCTCTGCACTGGCTCTGCTGCTGAGTGAATTTGTCTCAACTTCTTTTCACAGTGCAGCGCACTCATGAAAAAACATCCTGCACTCGCCTGTCATGTTTCATGTTTCATGCAAGAAGGATTTAAAAAAATATCACAAAGAAGTACGAGTGAAACATTACACTTGTGACTCAGGGTTTGGAGGAGGATTGAAAAAACATGTGAGGAGCATGACTTTTGTTTTTCAGTTCAATAGATGATTGTGGATGAAAAGAGCACATGACAGAGATGTTTATAAGAATCATCAGATGAGTGTGTGTGTGTGTGTGTGTGTGTGTGTGTGTGTGTGTGTGTGTGTGTAACTGCTAGCCTCATTAAAACTAGCATAATTGAGGTGACAAAGAAGATGATGTTGTCGAACATACTCACACGCGCATTCTTTTTGTCTTTGTCTGACACCTATAAACACACACACAGACACACACCTTTACCAACTATCAGAGCACTTGTGTTAAATAATTAACAGTGTGAGAGATTAGTCCGTCAGCCTTGGGCCACGGAGGTCTATTGATTCTCCCAGAATGCATTTTTAATGAGCTGCCAGCCGGCATTCATTTCAGCTGGCCAGTGTCCGTGGAGGGCCGTCTGACACACACACACACACACACACACACACACACACAAACACACAGACACACACACAGGCACACACTTAGCGCCAGGGGAGACAATTAACATACACATAAACACAGCAGCAGCTCCACTGTATTGTGGACATCACTGTGACAACAGCAGCAAACTAACATCCTCTGAGCTCTTTGAGTTGTTTCACTTTGTTTTGAAATGTTTTTTTTTATCCTGGATCCGTTCAGCAGTGATTTCATGTGGTTCTGTACGATTGTGTGTTGTAATAGCGTCACACTCATATGACACTAAATGCAGAACGAGAAGTGATCAAGATTAATTGCACCCTTTACTTCAACATGCCCCCCCCCCCGACAATAATCTGCCTTCTGTCCAGAGCTGTGAGCTTTAATGAGAGACGTACATGTCGGACTCACACGTGTGATCAGGAGAATGACGCTCATGATTTTTTACTCTTAAACTCACACACACAAAGTTTTTTTTTTTGTCTCTGTGTTGGACTCGTTTTCATTTCTTGAAATGAAAGAGGAACAGAAAGCAAAAGAGTAGGAAGAGACGGACGTGTTTCTGCAAATGCTATTTTCTGTCAAACATCGAGTTGGAATGAACCAAGGTCACATGACTGACGGAAGATGTTTTTTGATTTTAACCACAATAGCTCTTTTCACCGTCTGTCTGCTGCGACTCAGGCTGCGTGGCCTTTGCAACAGTTGAGGGGAAACAGAGAGCAATGTGTGTGTACGTCACGTGTGTGTGTCTTTGAGAGGGTGTGTGGATGTCTTGCACTCGTCCTACCTTTCCTGTCTCTCTTTCAAAGTCAACATATTCCCTTGTAGGAACCTGTCGCTGATCTCCATGCACGTTGGCTGGAAAGAACTGGAGCGAGAGGTTGGTACCTGTAGCTACAAAGGCCTGGAGAGAGAGAGAGGGGGGGGGNGGGGGGGGGGGGGGGGGGGAGCGTACAAGTCAGTTATTCCAAAACAAACACAAGCGTGACATCATCGCAATCCCATTAGTGTATTTTTAGTCACTAGACAAATAAAAGTCAATGTTTAAAACAAAATATATGTACCACCCCCCTGGTGGCTGGCTGCAGTAAAGGGTCATGAACGTCACCTCCTCCACATTAACAGATGGGACATTTGTCAAAATAGACGTCAAAGTTTTCCACAAGCTGGTTTCTGTCATTTAAATGAGTTCTTATCACACTGATGTTTTTTTGTTGCTTTAAAAACAGGGTGAAACATTATAACTGACAGCTGAGAATGACTCACGACTGGTCAAGCCCACAAAGATGGCCGCACCCACACTGAGTATTTTGGCTTCATAAAGGACTAATGAAGTATTATAGTGGAATTGCATTATGGGAAATATCCAATTTTGGGGCGTTTGACTCAAACTTCCGTAAAAGTAAACTCTGCCTCAACCGCTTCGATCTGAAAAAATATTTTTAGAAATGTTCTGTTTCGCAAGGTCATCCATCTTTATGGAGATAATATACTGAACTGATAGAAGCTATAAGTTGCAGCAGAACTTCAAGATTCGGAAATACTGCTTTCAAATAAACGTTTTCAGATGGTTGCTGCAAACCTGACTGAATGTTTGAATAAGTTTAAATATCTTATTTGGGTCTGGAATGGTTTAAATTTGACAAAGTTGACATAAATGTTGTTTTTTTTTCCTCCTTTCTCCAAACCGACCGCCCTCAGTCTCTTCTCGGTCTCACCGCTCTCTTCTTAAAACAAAAGCTCAGAGTGAACTCCTGCCCTGCTCCCGTCACACACATGTAATCACATCATAATGGAGCTTTTACTCGCTTTCTGATTTCTGTAAAATGACTCTCTCAAGATAAACACACACACACACACACACACACACACACAAACGTCTGTGCAGCACACATAGAGAAACATAAATAAAATCAATAGAATGCATTTCTCTATTACAGTCAGAAAGCAATGAATTACAGAGAGACAGAAAATCAAGTTAGAAATGGCTGTTTTTTTAATGCATGTGTGTCTTTGTGTGTGTGTGTTTTGTGTTGTCTTTGCTGGGACAGATCAATACTAAGGGCATTAGGGCCGCGACTGAAGCTAGAAGCATATGAATTATGCACCCTGTCAAATCTGTTCCCCATCAGAGAGAGAGAGAGAGAGAGAGAGAGAGAGAGCGCATGCAAGAGAAACACTGGATGAAGGAGAGAGCAACACAGAGCGGAAGAAGAGAGGAATAAAGGGGAGGGAGAAAGCTGAAAATTATTAAGTGTGTACATGGACACACAAAGAAGAAAACGTCTCACACACACGTACACACACACACACACACACACACACATGAGCACACACGATCACACACACACTGAAAGGAGAGCTCAGAGAACAACCGAGTCATCGTTTCTGCTGTATTTGAAGTATTGGATTACAACCATCTGATACCAATTTGCTGCCTACTACTGCTGGAAAAGAAAGAGAGGGAAGGAGAGTCTGAGGGAGGAGAGAGAGAGAGAGAGAGAGAGAGAGAGAGAGAGATGGAGGGAAACAGAGAGACAAAGGAGGAGAAAGCAAAAGTGAGTGAAGCAGAGAGAAACTAAAAAAGAGGAAGAGGGACCAGGGGAAACCGGACAATATCGGTAAAGACAGCATGATGAATGTAAAGAAAGTGCAGAGAGAGAGAGAGAGAGAAAGGCAATGGAAGTGAGATGAAGAGAAGACAAAGAAAAGAAGGAAAGGAAATGAAATAAAAGGAAGTTAAAAGAGAGACAGGGAGAGAGAGAGAGAGAGAGAGAGAGAGAGGGAGACACAGCGCAGCATGAAAATCAATAGTAGTTTAGAAAGTGACTCATCTCTAATGAGCTGAGCAGAAGAAAATTTACTTTGAATTATTGTCTCATTTATCAAATCAATCCTGAGCATCGCCCTGTGATTCCAGCCACAAATATGTGTGTGCGATGTTTTCAGATTCCTAGAAACTGGAGAATACTTTCATTTTACGTGATAAAGTACTAACACAACCGCATAACAATATAATGCAGAGGATAAGACTGAAATACAAGGTTTATATATTTAATACATTTATTCTAAAACGAGACATACCACATGTTATTTATATTTAACGTGCAAAAACCATGCAGCATATTCAGTATGAAGACGTAAAGTGCATCTATTTACTTTTACAGAATTTCTGCTTTAACTAACGAAGGCGGAAAATAAATATGTTGACAGTATTAAGTGTTTAAAGACTATTTAAGACTCAGTGTTCAGTCTTTTTTCCCTGAGCTCTTTAAGTTATTTACTTAACGGGTTTCACCTGCAAATCATTTGTCCTTAACTTGCACATCTGCTATTTCTACAGACAAGAAATAAAGTTATATGATTAAAATTGTGTTAGTCATCTGTCATCATAACTTTAAATAAGTTTTGTCTATGGGGACAAGAAAGATGTCCAGACGTCTTTTATGGCATATAAAAATACATGCTAATGTGTGTCTGCATTGTTTTTTTTTCTCACAATAAAAGTTCAATTAACTACTTCAAAGTCACACTCACTCCACCCCCCCCCATGAAAAATCCAGATTCGCTAAAGGTGCAAATAGTTTTCATTTATAAAAAAGTTTAACTTCTCAACTCGAGACGCCTCCTACATCATTAAAACTCAAATCTCTGTGCAAATACTTCCGACCATCACTTCCTCCAAACTGGCTTTGATGTCAGATTTTAGGTGAGCACAGAGAAACTCTCAGTCTTCGTCCAGGTGGAATGTGGAAACGTCCCGTTAGTGTCAGTCTCTGCACGAACGTCGAAGTGACTCATTAATAAACAGAAAACATCTTTGAGTGAAGGACGACTTTAAAAACATCGGATAAATTCAGCGTTCGGTCGATAAGCCGACCGCAATTCGCTGCTTGTTTGTTTTTGTGTCAGTCTGTCTCGTCTATAAAAACAGAAGTGATCCTTGAGAGCTGCGTGTGTGAGTCTCATTGTGTCTGATACTTGTTCGCGCCGGCCATGAAAATAGCAGAAGGACTTTTAGCGGCGTCTGGCCGATGGTTAAATCAGCGACATGATGTCACAGCTGCCGTCAAACCATTAAAATCTCCATTCTCACAGCAGAGGAGGCTTATAAATACAGTGAGGACAGACAGACAGATGGACGGACACACAGACACACAGACGCATCATGTCCCACTAAAAGATGGTAAATCTAGATGTAGCCTCCCCCCCCCCCTCCTCCCCCCTCCGGCGATGATGACAGCATGTTTGTGAAAAATACCTCGCGGGTGACTAAGACGGCAGAAGTTGCCATGTGTTTGTGTGCGTCTGTGCCAGGAGCCTGGAGGCTTCTCGCCCGGCCTCACCCTTTGTCAAGGACATGATTTAGGAAGTTTCAAACAAACACTGTGAGCCTACAGTAATTACATAATGATAATATGAATGTGTACGGACTCGCTTTAAAGTTATACACTGCTCATCGCAAACACTGCACCCAGCGGTTTGGGTTTTTTTTTTTTTTGCAACAAAACAAAAAAAAGGTCAAACAGGTTCAGCCGCACTTGTGGAGGTCAGTGAATAAACATAAACACACACACACACACACACACACACACACACACACACACACACANCACACACACACACACACACACACACACACACACACACACACACGTTATATTAAAATGTTTTGAACACAAATGCTTCTTTTCATCAGTGGTGGAAATAAGATAAATAAAAAGAAGTAGTTTTCTGAACTACTTTTATTGAAGTTGGATGATGTATTGTTCAAATCAGACAAACTTAAGTGAAAGAAAATGTGTAGGAATCAGCTTCTGTCAGCTCGATTGTAAAGATTACGTAAATATTACAGGACAAATTGGTCAGGAGAGGACAGATGAAATTAAAGTGCAGATCCGGGTCAGGGAACCGATGAAAGATTTTCGTCACCTTCTTTAACGTTGTGATAAAAGGCTTTTTTTCAACATTTTCACAATTTCCTCATTAAAGAAATATTTAGGAAACTGATATTTGGTCCTCAGACAAATAAAGATCCAGATCCGGTGACTTTAAATGTGTTTTGATAAGAAGACTGTTGGGCTTTGGTGGAAGTTTGTGCTGTCCTGAATCTCTCAATGTGAAAGAAAGTGAAAGAAATCTTGGATCTGCCTCCTGATCCAGATCAACATTAAAAGATAATAAGTTATTTTCTGACCAATCCTTCCACCAAGTTTCAACAAAATCATTTTTTGCACAATCCTGCTGACAGAAAGACGAACCGTCAAACAGTGATGACAACATAACCTCTGTGGAGCAGCTAATGATAAACACGGCTGTTCGTACATTTTGCTGATATCATTCATGGACCTTAGAGAAATTCCTGAATATATTTTACACCATCGTGTTTTTATTGGACATAAAAGCTCAGTTTAATTTCTTCACATCCACCTCGGGCTCGAGCGACCGGTTGCGCTTGAAAAACGTGGCTGCACACGAGTGTGGTTTGGAACTGAAGGGAGACGATTAAGCTGCGTGACAACAAACTATCTCCTGCCGCAACATGGCTGCTCCTTCATATATGTGGTGTGACGCGGCGCAGAGTCAGACCTCAGCTCTGAGTCAACACCGAAGCATCTCGCAGCCCAAGCAAAAAATCTGGCTGCAAAATAACGATTATTTTAATTATCGGGTGGTGTTGTGGTTTTTCCCTCGATTATTAATCAGTCAATCATGTGTCCGATAAATCACGTATGAAAAACACAGCTCAGCATAAAGGTTCGGTATTTTTAAAACTGAAGAAAATAGGATGGTAACAGTTCATGGTGTTTATTGCAGGGGTGTTGTTTTGTCTTAATCTGTTCACTTTAAAGAAATCCGTTGTTGATCGTTCCTATGACATGTTGTCAATTTACCAAAATTAGACGTGACGGGTGATATTTACTTCAGGTGAACAAATTTAGGCCCCAAATTACAGCTCTGACAGAGTTTGTTGTCAGCACAGACGGTTTAACACATGTTAATGTGTGTTACTGCAAAACAAAGTGATGATGATGACGGCAGCTGCACAATCTACAGGGAAGAAGTGATGAGTCTGTGAGTGAAGTTAAGCCTGGTGGGTCTGCTTGTCTGATAACACGTCTACTTCCTGCTGCACACACACACACACACACACACACACACACACACACACACTGTAGTGCTGCACAAACTGAGCTGATTGCTCTGTTCTCATGATACAAATGAGACAACCTTGAGGAGAAGTTTGTTTCACTATTTTCCTTCAGTGATGTTACTTCTCACAAAATATCTGTACTACTACCTCACCGATCAGGATTTCTGAGGGCTGATACTAAGTAAAATACTCCTAATACGGACGAATTGTCCAATTAAAAATAGGTGATTATTCCTTAAATGTTGTTATCAAACCCTTATGACAAAGAAGTTATATAATACTTTCCAGTTAAACATTAAACTGCATTACAAATCACTATAAATAAAAAGAAAACACAAATACA